CTCACAGCAAAAGTGTCAGTTATACAGCCACTAAAGGCATATTTAAACTATAAAATGTAAGCATTACTGTATCTACTAAACAACTAATGGACGACTTTATTGAGATAATGTTGTCTTGGTATTTTACTGGTCCTTTCATTCTGTACTTATCCAATGTATTTTTCTCTGTAGACTTAATTTTGAATGTCAGTCTGTCCTAAGAATTTTATTTGTTATTAGCATGTCTATATTGCCAACACTACACCATGCCACTTTACAAATATTGAAGGGGGATATTTAGAAGTGAAGAAGGTTCTGCTCAAACAAGCTTGCAATCTGGGAGGATTTGAGGAAGGTAGGTATGTATTGTTCAGTGTCTTGTCCAAGGACACTTACTGGTACAGTAATACAAGTTCAGTCTGCAATTCCAGAAATACTTCAGTTCGTTATTACAAGTGAGGCAATTCAAATGGAAAATTTTGATACACACAAACAGAAGTAAATACCAAGGTCAATTAAGTAAGATATTCAAATACGAAAGCAAAACAAAAAAACAAAAAAAAATACGGAAAAATAGCGTCCACATGATGGTCAAGCTGATTCGATACAATGTACACATTCTTCGTATATATTTATAGTATGACTAAATGTTCCCTAGATAATGAAGTCACATCAAACTTTAACTTAATAGCACCTCATTTGTTGTTTTGAACCTTACACAAATATCTGTGGTCCATTTCAGGATGGTGCAGTTAAAGAAATAATTAATTTTTACTGGCAACATGTTCCATATTATACACACCTAAAAATAATGTAGAATAACAAGGTAAACTAGCATTGCAAAATCAAGGATAAAACTCTATCCATACAAAATATGTTTTACAATACTACCAGAACTAATACACAATATAAACCAAAACAAATTATTGGTACTGTACAACACAATGTACCGTAATTCATACAGGCAATAAGAGCAATACCTTAAAAGGCCTGGCTGGCCCCCCAAAAAAATATTGAATATAGGCAAAAAAATTTTTTCCCCAATAGCATGTTTAAGATAAACGAGAATTACCATGTGCCTCTGTATAGTATACATACAGTCACATGATGGTGGACGTAGCACTTCCGCTGATAAGTTAAGCTTTCTGGCCAGGTAATTTTTCTGGCCAGACCTGGAAATTTCCAAATGTCCACCAATCTACATATATTATATATACACACATATTATAACTTATGGTTTTTTAAAAGAGCATAAAATTCCAACTCTGCATCGTAAAAAATTGGTCTCCCTTCTGTCAATCAATTCTTCATTATAGACTCTATGCCGAAGAATTGAGTGACAGGGAGAACAGAAGAGATCTCCAACAAGTGGTTATTCTGTTCTCCAAGCATAGCAACTACACTGCATGCGCTGACTATAGAGAATAGGACCAGAGTAACTGACGTCACTCCCTTCAGACGCCTGCATACTGGCAATGAAGTCAGCTTCACAAAGGAGGCTAGTCCTGCTTGGAGATTGCAGATTGAGTTCGGGTGGACCAGAGGTGGGTGTTACAAAAGTATAACACCACCCCTGTGAGGACATGGCGACACTGGATTGAAGGGTGAGTCCAGGTTCACTTTAAATCCTCACCCATCATGCTGGATGAGTACATAATCAGAGGGTGCATCCATGCGCGCCTACACTCAATAACTAAAGACACCACAGCACAATGTAATCTGTAAAAGGGAAACATACAGACTCAGATTTGTTAAAGGCACACTTCGAATAACCAGTACAGCTCATTGAAGTGGTTATAGTGCCTTGGGTACCCTGGTGCTGTCCCTCCATTCAGTGTAAAATTAATTTTATTTTACCCTGGCTGCCCACCCTGGAGGGATGACTAATGAAAAGATTACCCTATTAAATTCATATGAGCAAAGGGTGCTGTGATAGTCTGAAAGTGGTTACTTGACACTCTCAGACAAACACTGCCACCCATTGTTGCTCAAATTAATGATTCCTTAATGGGATGCGGTGGCTCGTTTAATATTAAAAACAGTTTAACTCTGATAAAAAGGTTGGCGTGAGAGAACTCCAGACACAATAACCACTTCAATGAAGCAGTTACAGTGCCCACAGTGTCCCTTTTACCATCATACTACACCCATAATGTAGGACTATGTGGCTCCTGAAAATACATCAATTTTGACCTTGCACTTATTTTGTTTTATTGAGCACTCCTACGTAGCTCTAACGGGGAACAGAGAGTGCCACAATATAGTCACTTATGCCATTGCAAGAGAAACTGGGACCTGTGCAAGCTTTATGAACCCCTCACCCCTTGTTCATAGCCTGTAGGAGGAGGATGGGGCCAACGTTCGTTCTCTACTGGTAATTAGAATGTTTGCGTAATATTGTATATATTGAAAACAACTGTGCGATATGGCAGCATATTAATCACATTATCAAAAATTCTCAAACTCAAATCTTTCCATTTTTCCTTGAAGTGACAAAGTTGAAGTAGTTTTCACGAAATTTGATCTTATAGATTGCACCAAATCATACACAAGACCAGGAACAATGTACTACTGTATTTAAAATTGCCATTATTAAATATCCAATTTGGATATTGTTCATCTAATTTGAAAATTATGCACATATTTTCAAATTCCGATACAAATTATATTGCTAGTCATGGAGAACAACCTTGGCTACACTGCAATGTTACACATTGTATTGACTTAGTTCCACGCTGTTTACATTGCATCTGTAACATTATGAATTGTAAATTATCTACAAAACGCAGTCTCTAAGTATATAGAAGTGATTCAGCAATATTATTGGTACAGCCCAAACATATCTCCAAGCAGACCCATAGCCACAATGAGAGGATTTTTCACAAATACATTTTTTTTATAGAGTGAATTGTTAGGAATTCAGAGCAAACTTTTCAAAATGAAATATTAAGACAAATTACTGGAAAACTCTCAAAATGATGCGGTTTGTTTTCCGAGCAATTCACATGTCTACGAATAACTATGTAAAAGCTTTAGAGAACAGCCTTAAACATGGCCCCCTACACTAAACCTGTGTGCATAATGCCATGGCAACGTAATGCTGAAAGGTCTCAAATTCTCTCATTAGAATTTCATGGTACATTTCCTGCATATTATGAATGGGTGCATTGGAGTTTTTCAATTTACCAACATCAGTGCTAAAAGCAATACTTTTTAAGGTGATTTCTACTGAAACTAGGGTTTCTACATCCACCTGTTTTCCTGTGCAGTCTATTTTACACTGGTATGGGCATCACATGAAAGGTGCTGCCCTGCAGTATGTGAACTTCACATGAGCCTGGAAGACAATCCATTAATTTATCCCGGAATAACCTTACAGAAACTGCCCTCTCTTGCAGCCTATGAATGTCCATCACACGAAGAGTGCTGCCCTGTTGTATGTCACATTTTTTAATGAGCCTGGAAGGTAAAATTAATTAATTTATCAAGGAGGAATCCCAAAAAGATTTTCCTTTCCCTTGCAGCCCATGAACACTACATAGTGTAGAGCAGCACTTTTCATGCACTGCCCAACAGCATGAAGAATGTGTCCAGTATAATATCCCATGGTGATATCTGACATATATAGCTGGCGCACAGAGTCCAGCCTGGGGCCCCTGCCCTGTAAGGGGCCCCTAACAAGCAGCCCTGTAAGGGGCCCCTAACAAGCAGCCCTGCAGGGGTTGCATGGCAGTCTGGTGGGCTTGCAGACTATGGCAGTCTGGTGGGCTTGCAGACTATGGCAGTCTGGTGGGCTTGCAGGGGGGGGCGGCGGCAGTCCCGTGGCTTGCAGGGGGCGCGGCAGTCCGGGTGGGGCTTGCAGGGGGGGGATAATGGCAGTCCAGTGGGCTTGCAGGGGGGTTGCGGCAGTCCGTGGGCTTGCAGGGGGTTATGGCAGTCCGTGGGCTTGTGGGGGTTATGGCAGTCCCGTGGGCTTGCAGGGGGGGATAATGGCAGTCCCGTGGGCTTGCAAGGGGGGATAATGGCAGTCTGGTGGGCTTAGTGTGGGGATAATGGCAGTCTGGTGGGCTTGCAGGGGGATAATGGCAGTCTGGTGGGCTTGCAGGGGGGATAATGGCAGCCCAGGCTTGCAGGGGGGATAATGGCAGTCTGGTGGGCTTGCAGGGGGGGAGCAATGGCAGTCTGGTGGGCTTGCAGGGGGGATAATGGCGTCTGGTGGGCTTGCAGGGGGGGATAATGGCAGTCTGGTGGGCTTGCAGGGGGGGATAATGGCAGTCTGGTGGGCTTGCAGGGGGGGATAATGGCAGTCTGGTGGGCTTGCAGGGGGGGATAATGGCAGTCTGGTGGGCTTGCAGGGAGGGGGGCAGGGGGTGTACATGACTTCAGACCCAGGGGGACCTGTTTGTATGGGGTGGAGATAGCATGTGGCATCCTCCCACTGACCCCAAGCTCTGCCTGGGAATGAGAGTAAACCAGGAAGTGTTCCAGATCCCGGGGCCGGTGTACACAATGACAGCAGCGCGTTCACGGACCCAGAATGACAGCCCCAGGGGCCCCTAGGACCCCGCACGTCCCACACCCGTGAACGCACCCGGCCTCTCTCACCTGTCTGTGCCGCACGGCTCTCCCGAGTCCACAGAACAAGCGGGGATAGGGTGCGTGCCCGCGCTGCGCGGTCCCGTGCACGGGCAGGTGCACAAAGGCAAAGGAGACAACAAGCACGGCGATGCTGGGTGGAGTCGGGCTCGCTGACGTCACCTAGGCCGTAGCCACCAATCAGCGAGCGAGGAGACGGCGCGCACCTGCGTCCAGGGCTCGGAGGGCTGTGGGGGGGCGGTCAGCCGCTGATGTGCGTGACGTCAGTGCTGGCTGGAGGCTGCCTGCTTACTGGCACCCCGTGGCCATCATGTCAGGATGCTGACACTGACTGAGGCCATGACAAGGACCAGTGACAGACACTGTGTGCACTGTCTGACAATTCAATGAGAAAAACATAATAATAATAATAATAAAAAGACACAATGATGGAGACATACAGTAATAAATGTCAATTGACTCCTTACATTGCTCCCCAGGCCACTAGCCCAGAGAAGTTTGAGGGGGCCACTAGCCCAGTGAAGTTTGTGGGGGCCACTAGCCCAGAGAAGTTTGAGGGGGCCACTAGCCCAGAGAAGTTTGTGGGGGCCACTAGCTTAGAGAAGTTTGTGGGGGCCACTAGCCAGAGAAATTTGAGGGGGGCCACTAGCCCAGAGAAGTTTGTGGGGGCCACTAGCCCAGAGAAGTTTGTAGGGGCCACTAGCCCAGAGAAGTTTGTGGGCTGCTGCCTCAAAGCACAATATTCCATTTTGTTATTGATTTACACTTTTTGCAGTATTGGTATAAAATATTTTTATTTTTTTAATTCTTTAGTTTTGCTGTTGTTAAGCATACATCAACAGAACAAAGTGACATCATGATATTTAACGGTACATCGTATACATATAGCTTTATAACATGCCAATGATAGGCACTCTATTTTATAAGTATTGACTAGTCGTAGGCTATCTTCGAGTCAGGATGACGTATTAGTTGGAGCGATCGGTGCCGTTTTAATTTTCCGGACCTATCTATGGGTCGCCTAACCTATGGGGCAACGGAGATATTTCAGAGTTTGGCAGTACAATAAACAGATTTTGGCAAAGTATAAATAAGGAGGCTACGACCTCTTGTCAAGTGGTACAAAACATTTAATGTGACAGTTTGCTGGTCACATTGCTATTTGTTTGTTGTTGCCCCCCAACCCGTTGGCCTTTTGTAGCCAGCCCTCCAATGATTGCGTAGGTAGTTCGGCACTATAACCATTACAGCACACTGTAGTGATATTAGTGGTTGGAGTGCTCCTTTAAAAAATACTTGACTGCAAAAAATAAAAATATCACAATTTAGAGATATACTTACAATGAAAAAAATTAATGTATTTAATTCAGCATTTCATTCTTTGGAAGTTTATCTAAAAACAGCTTTCAAATGTTGCAGACCTGCTGTCTACAGCCTTGGCAAGTCCTCCCCTATTTCCACTGCACAGACTTTCTGGCACCACAATCGCACACACCCTCGATCTCGACTTTCCAATGCCTCTTCGTCAACTGTAGTATAGCTCATTTACAAGGGGAAAGCCAGGCGCATGTTAGCCCTGCATGTCTGCCATTTCTGTTAGCTCAGTTTTTTTAATGTGCTTTGATTAGTGCATGTTCTGGATCCGTTAGCTGTGTGGAGCTAATGGATGCAAAAGAAAACCTTGATTGCTATTTAATTGACAGCCAGGGAGCTGTTTCTACCCCACTGATAAAAGTGCAGATTTCTATTCAAGCTGAAGTGCTTTTTGTGTGTGGACAGCGCCTTTAACTAGTTTTAGGGCTCCTGTAACCTTTAAAAGCACTTCAAAGCACCACAACTATTTCAGTTCGCTGTAGTGGTTAGGATGCCAGGTACCATGGTGTTCTCCTAGGGTAAACAGCCAAAATGGTTAAGAAATTAAACCAACGCATCTCTATGGGGAGTATCTTCATGCAAAGCTTGAAGATGCCAAATGTCAGTCTTGCAAAGTGACATGAGTGACATGCACTAGAGGTGGCCTTAACTGCTAGTGGGATGCACATTCCCACAGTCCACCCAACACAGAATGTTGGGCGATTGGGAGGACAGGTAGAAAATCGGATGTGACTATAGTAGTGTGCTATGCCAGTCAGTGGCTTTAAGGATTATATTATGTTAATATTTGTCACGTACAGCAATAGTTAGAAACAGTTCTTATAATGTACTTTTACTCTTGCATGTTCTGGATCTGGTCATAGACTCCAGATTTGAGTAACATGTCTTGCTGTCCCAGATATATTTTCTCTATCTCAGTCCTCAGTTGTGACTGAGATATAAAGTTCAGCTAAGTATATCAGTTCCATTTATCACTTAGGATGAGTGTGTAAGATCCACGTCCAATAAGGACGCATCTCAGTTTAAACCTAGTAATGATAGTTCCTATTCCATTGTTGATGTACTCATTGCAAAACCAAGACTTAATCAACATTCCACATATCTGTGTCATAATACAAGGGCGCTTACCAACAATGATGCACCAGCGACATCTCACTCTCAGCACACTGGACACTTGCGTCAAAGTCACAGACTGGGCTCTCAAATTGGTATCTGCGCCAAATTCAGGTCAAACTGTTTCAATCTATTACTAGATCACACTTGCATCATTCTTGCCACTGACTATCCTAAAGTGAGGCAAGCCATGATCGTTGCAACTTTAGCCTTAATTGTTTGGCATCGTACCTAGTGCAATGCACACTTTTAAAACTGTCACAATTATGACTTAGGTGTCTAGCCTTAAAGGAACCCATTCAGACTTGTAGACAGTGAGACAGATAGATAGATTTATCTGGCAAAACAAGAAACACAGAGTAGCCCGCAACATACTTTATCGCCCCAAAACGAGAGGAGGCCTGGGCCTACCCCACCTCCACTTTTACTATCTGGCTGCCCAGATGGCACAAATAGCCCTATGGCATACCCCCCCAGAGACTAGAAGGTGGGTAGATCTGGAATCATTGCTCATGAGATCCGATCTCCCACAATTTTACATCTGGACCCCTAAAGAACACAGGGCGCTCCCGAGAACGGCGTGCCCGGCCATCACCAACTCAATTCAATTATGGGACAAATATGCTCTTAAATACGGGCTGACTACCACGACATCGCCACTCACCCCCATATATCGTAATAGAGCCTTCACACCAGGCATGAGACCATGGGACTTTAAAGGCTTAGAGCAAGCTGGCCTTCAGAGAGTATACCAACTCTATGCAGGAGATAAGATAATTCCCTTCCCAGACCTACAGTCCTGAACAACGTTGAAGCCAGCCGACTTCTTTAGATATCTACAACTAAAAAATTACGCGGCCCTAGCGACGGTGAAAACCGCCACTACAACCAGTCCAACCTGTTTTGAACGCACCTGCTTAGCGGAACGGTATCAAAAAGGCATGATCACCACACTATACTCCCACCTCTGTTCCACCACACGGGAATGGGGACAACTCCAATACACTGACAAATAGGAGTCAGACCTGGGCGAAACTCTAGAGGGAATTGACTGGCAGGATATATGGGAAGCTAACACAAAAACCTCCATCTGTGTCACGATGCAGGAACAGCATATAAAACAATGCTTAGATGGTACATTACCCCGGTCCAATTATACCACATGAAAAAAACACCTACAGATCTCTGTTGGCGTAACTGCAGCGAAAAAGGGACATACACCCACATGTGGTGGTTCTGCCCCACCATTAAACTCTTCTGGAAAGACATCCAAAAGCTAATAACGCAAATCCTACACAGACCGGTAGACCTAAATCCATGGACATTCCTGCTAGCCAACCCCTAGATGACTGGCCTAGACCAGAACAACAACTGCTAAACAAAATAGCACTAGCAGCCAGAAAAGCCCTAGCCCAAACGTGGCTGCAACCCCAATGTCCACAGTGCTTAACAAAATCAAAGAATATCATCTTATGGACAAACTAACGGCCCAAATAAGAGGCTCCATGAAATCATTCACTAAGACGTGGGAACCGTGGGAAAACTACAACGATGACTAGTAAGCCTCGTGAATCGTTCAGGACCCCCTCCATCCCCCCCCCCATCCTCTCCAACTATCCTCCTCCCCCCCCCCATCATTAGGCGGATAAGTTCCACACATTGAACCCATCAAAACCATCACAACCAGATGGTAACTTAAACACAAAGAAACGATACATTATCCAAGTTCTTACATTACCTTTGGGTTGTTCTTTTATTTATGTTTATCTATGTATAATTCTGGCAGCCAGATCCCAAATGCAATTGATGTACATGAAATGTTATGAATACCGCATGTACCTCCTATTGGCAACATTTGTTCTTTATTGTATTCACAATGCGGCTTCTGCGTAAGCCATATGATTGCATAGTGCATTTTTTCTCTGTCATTGAAAAAATAAAGAATTATAAAAAATAAAAAAAACTCCATGTGTGCCAAATGAATTTATAGCTAACTAGAAGAGAAGCCATTTTGCTTACATACGAGCTTTGAATTGTAAGATAGAAGTATGTCTGTGGCACAAAGAGATGTATACTGAACATTCCTAGCTTTTACTGAAATATCCTCCAGAGCTAAGGGCCAGCTAAAGTACTGGGATTCAGAATACGTGACAAGGAAATTGCAATGCGCACTGTAGATCGAACAGAAAAAGCACAGGCAGCTAACAATTAAGTCTACAGAGAAAGTCAAGCACCATTATTGAGGGAGAGACATGAGTCAGTTGAAGCATTGAAAAGATGTCACTTTGGATGGAATGGCAGTTTTAAAAAAAAATATTTGTTGCGCTTTATATTATCTTTGTCCTGCTCCCACAAGAAAAATAATAAAACACATTTTTTTTATTTATTTTTTTGGTGCCAGTGAGAACTTTTGTCAAACTGCTCCAGAATTAATCATAAATCCAGGGGCAGCAAGTAGATAACTCAGCAAGGTTGGCCATTAATGGATTAAAATGGGAGTCAACCATAATAGAAATTAAAGGTTATTCATTTTTTATACAGAAGGAGTGGTTGGGAGGCCTGGAAAAGGTCTCATGGAGAGAAGGTTGAAGAAAAAAAAATGAAAGAGGGAAGAGATTAAAAGAAGGACCAGTAGTGATTAAGGCCTTGGAGATGAATGAAGGAAGATAATGGTGGGCGAGCCATGGACCTCAATTTGAAATATCATGAACTAATTTTGTTAATTTTTCCATCAACTTATATAGGATTGTGGCTATGCTGGGTGTTTTAGGGTTGCTCATCACCTGCATTTAACTAATAGTGTATTTAGAGTTTTTGTTAGTGGGTCATGTTGTCATGTCTCCTGCCCTATTTGGGTGCTGCCATGTAATACATAATGACACCATACTTCATTCCCATGTCGATTCTGGTGTGGACAGCTCCCCTCTTGACACACCTTCTCACCAGGTTGCACCATATTTCAGAGCTGCAGCAAGTGGCATCATTCTAGAGACTTTGGTTACGAATGCTCTGGAATCCCAATTCTGACGTCATCCAATAGGATTCTATCTGAACTATTTAAGACCTGTCTACATTCTGTTCAGTGCCCTGTTGTGATCTTAGTTTACGCAAAACTGTATTCTTACTGCTTGATGGTTTTCCTGGTATTGACTTAGCTCTGTTGTTCGATTTTTCTAAATTCTGTAATCCTTGGCCAGTTTCTTGTTTGAGTGTATTTCTGTATATTCATTGACCTCGGCTTGTCTCTATTTATGCATAGATGGCCTGGCCATCGTAAGGACCGGTAACACATTGCTAACTATTCTACTATACTATTGTTTATATGTTATGGTATACTTACCTTGACACACACAGACTGGAAAAAAGGCAGATACAGGGATCTATTGGAACCAATTGTAAATGTAACTAGGGGGCAAAATCAGCCCCAATGTGATCTGTTGACGTTACCAGCAGAGAAAGGGTTAGTTTGCTGTTGACCTTTCATTTAATTTCTAGACTGAAACATCCAAATTGACAGGACATTAACTGTGTTAAATGCATTTAAACCTATAGCTTGCTTTCTTGTGTGTAGAGCACTACACAGGTTAAATTTTAGACGGTGATCAAGAAGAAGATATGAAATGAGCCAGGAGTAAAAACTAACAGCAAAATGTAGAATCAAAAAAAGGTGTTGGTCATGTACAAAAAGTAACCAAAGAGTAACTAAAACATTCACAAGTACAAGAAAGCTTTTCTGGAAGGCTGCATGCTGGATTTGCAGTGAACGTCTGAAAATAATCTTGCTGAGAGCAGATACTTTGAAGTGCTGTACAATGCACATTTCCATATTGTATTTTCTATTAAAGCACTAGACTTTTAAGGAGGCTGAGAGGATTACATACCAGAATTGTGATGCTGTTGACTGAATGATCCGAAGACAGAATGTCTGTGATGACAATTTTTGTGATCATGTAAAATATTTACTGGAACTCAGGAGTGACTAAAAATTCCAGGAGAATGATGTGAGCACAAAGCAGCTTTATAGAGAGCAGAATGATAACGAGCTGTTTATTAGATGATTATTATTACTCTCTGAGAGTCATGCATTTACTATTATTATAGATATAATTATATGTGTATAGATATATTTAAATGTCAGGTATCATTTGAACGATACTGCGATGACGCTCTGTTATTAAAAGCATACCATCATAACAGTAACGTTCATAATGGTGCTATTTAAATAATGACCATATGGTTAATTTTCAGGTTGATAATACTACTTAGGTTTAGAACTACAAGAGGTTTTGGCTCAGTTTTAGATCTAAAGTTGGGGCTTAGGTTTTGGAAGTTGGAAAGACGGGGTGTAAACGGCTTAGTTTAAGGGAGTATTAGCTTTCAAGATAATATTCCTAACCCATTGGTAAACAGGATGAATTGAGATGTAATGACATCTAGCTTCCTATTTGAATGCAGACAATTTAAATTGAATGATTCTGTTGAGCTGTGTTCCTTATATTTTCCATAGCCCCATGTATTGAAAACAAGCAAAGAAATTATCCATACAATAATATATTTACATACATATATTCCAGATAAAAAGTTAACACTAGCAGAAAACCTTTCCTAGTCTGAATCTGGCCTTAGCGGTAGCTGCCTGCTATGTGCACCACCATGCTGGATTCTCTGTATTACGTCTTTCTGACAATTCTTGTGCAAGACATTACGCTGTCCCTTTTTTTCCTAACAGAAAGTGGGTGAATTTGGCAACTTTTCTGCTCACCAACAAACTCATGTGTTCCAGAAAGCAGGAATGACAGGCATCTATATAAACCCATCAGATGTTACAGTCATTGCTCTGTTGTGGTTTAGTGGAATTCCCAATAGCGAGTTCTTTGTGCTCTGTATCTTTTGGTATTTGTCCCAATTTGCTCTCTTGTTTCTTCCGTCACGCTTGGCGCGCCTTGGCTTCCCCACATGCCACTCTGTGCGCACTACGTTAAAGGGACACTATAGTCACCAGAACCACAAGAATCGGTAATACGTATCAGCAGAGAAGGGGTTAGTTTCCTGTGTTACCTGTTCTTGTAGGACAGTGTTTGGATTCACGTCCTACTTGTTGGGTCACTACCACTTCTTGATAACCAGACTCTAGCTGCTATACAGCCAGTGATACATCTACAACAAGAGCAATTTGTCTGTTCTTTTAAACGGGGACTATTATGAAATGTTTATTCCAGGGCTCTGTTTGTGAACTGACAAAAAAAGCTTAATGGCAATCTAAAAAAGATTTAAGAGCAATGCCATTTTAAATAAGCATTATTGTTATTACTTATTCTTACTGTGTGGGCAGAGGTATATCGTATCGTATCGTAAGCAACAAACAAGAGAAATTGTCACTTAAAAGTCGCAACCTGCCAACGTCCTAATGTGTCATGGATACTATGTATTAGAAATGATATTGTTGTTGAGATTAATCAATTAAAAATTTAGCATGGTGAAATCCCTATGGCAACCCACTGTATCTTCCTATAGTCATTGAATTATGTTCAGTCTTCATCGTTTCACTTCTATCAGGAATGACAGATGTTGGCATTTGTTGGTTCTTCTAATTGCATTGCAGTCCTACTTGGCAAGTGCGATGCATTATACTGTCCCTGCCAGTGCGTCTTTTTCCCAAATGAGCTATTTTGACCTAAATTATGTATTTCAACTGTCAACGTATCAAAGTTGTTTAGTAAATATACTTCTACGTGCATTGGTATCAACAATCATCTCATGGAATGAGACATTACAAAAACGTCCAGATTTATAGTAGAAATCATTATTTTTTTCTTCGGGAATATAGATTGTTGTGTAATCACTAGAAAGGTTTTACTGACATCTAGATGTAGTCAAAGGTCTTTAGCCAAAGGTATTCTTTGGAGGGCAGATGGATATATAAATATAGAATAAGACAGAGCACAGGCAGCAGCTGTTGCCTGTTTTTATCCCCTAGAACAGTTTCTGATGTAACTGACAGAGTGCATGTTGGCTCAAACAGGCTACAAGTGGAAAAGACATTTGTCCCCTAGTGCTTGACAGCCTGTTCGCCAAGGAAAGTCTTATTGATCTGTTTAGAAAGCCTCGATTACCAGCAGTCTGAGGGTGTACAAGCAACATTGTGAAGTCCAGGTGTTTTTAGCAACCAAAAGATTCTGCCAAGTGAGTTTGAGAATATTATAATGATATCTTTGAGCACTTTTTGCTGTTTTGGAGAAATATGACAGTTGACGTTTAATTTTTTTGTAGTTGTAGTTAATACTGGCCAACATTTTCAAAATTATAAAATGATTTTATGTATCTGGCAATATGGGCAGCCATAAAGAATAGAAGCGTACAGAATACTATGACTATATTAACTGCAAGATTAATGATAGTGCTACTATAAATGGATGTACTATAAATTAACAGGTTTTTAGCATATTTTGTTGGCTAGTAGTTTGTAATGATGGCTTATTTTTGGGAGGCTTTGCAAGTTCAGGGAAATTTCAGGCTAGGCTCTAAGATAAAGTCATGTAGCTTATATTGGGCAATCTTGTTTTCCAAAAAGTCACTTGCTAAGGCCACATGTAACCTTGATAGCTTACATTTGACCTCCTGCAAAATGTTATTGGGATGTAAAGCTTTAGAGTACATATAAATCGAGTTAACAAAACAAATGTATGACCAAAATGCAGTTCCTGTTGGAGGTGCATGTATGAGGATTCACAAATGACAGTAGTTTTTGCAAATGTGAAAAAATTCATAAACAGTTAAAGGAACACTATAGTGTTTGGAATATAATGCCCTGTTGGCTGTTTGGGTCACAGGTCACCACATGCAAGGATTAAAAAAATAATTTTACTTACCATTTCTCCCTTGCACTGCCGATCTTCGCTGAGATACTCCGACTCGTTTGCTGAGACCATCAAGATTGATGATCTCAGCTAATCCAATGGAAAGCATTGGGTGACTAGTGCGCATGAAGTGGTATTGGTGCCTACAGTGTCTTTTTAAGGAGATGATGAAGGGGGTGTGCAAACTATTTCTAAAATTTCAAAAAAAGTTGCTATTTAAGATAAATATATTAATAAAAGAGAGCAAAATAAAAATTCATAATAATAAAAACTCTAAACAGTTTTAGTGGTATTCCTTTTTTTTTTTTTTTTAATGATGGCACGAATGCTCCACTAGTTTGGCCACCTAGATAAAGATATAGGTAGAATTTAAAAGCTCAGACATGTTTTGCTATTGCAAAAATATATTAGTTTAAAATATATCAGGAGGTAAGTGGGCGAGGTATGTAAGAATGTAGATTTCTTTTTTCAAAATGGAAATGTGGTGATAAACTTAAATGAATGAAACATTTTCTGAATCATAATTGTCTTCATTTAACTGTAAGAAAATAGGGGTTTATGATCTCTTTAACACTGTTGCTCAATATATTAAATGTTTTTTCTCTGCAGACCAATCATCATGAGTTTTACGAGTGAATAAACATCAGACATTTATAGTATGTTAAAGTGGAAATATTATCCACTACATGTGTGAATGTCAAGGCACAACTTCTAGTAAAACATTAACATGCAATCTATAGATTGTGGAAACAGAATTGCCAGTTTAGGTCGATTAAGCATAATACATGCTCATAGATTTATTGCACCTCTTCCAATATAGCCACAAAAATAGCAGCACTCGGTCTGCTTCCACAATGCTTAGTCAAACATTCTATGATGGAGCATGTTAAAGCATTACAGCAGGTCACACGGTTTGTTACAGTAAACACAGGCACATGCAACCGCAGCATCAACCAAATGTGTAGTTAGTTTGTCTATGGCTAGTGTGTAGTTTAGATAAGATTGTATTAAAAGCTACATGATGTTTGTATTAAAGGTATGGTTTGACTTTAGTTTGTGTGCATATCTCTAAGTGGTATGTATGTATTTATTTATTTTTTATTATTTTTGCAATTTCACTTTAAGTATTACAACAAATAGCATGCAGTTTGCAATTTAGAGCAATAGTTAAAGGGACACTTATATACTTTAGCTGAAGTGTTTTTTTGTGTATAGACTATGCCTCTGCAGTCTCACTGTTAAATTCCCTGCCATTTAGAAGTTAAATCACTTTTTGTTTCTGTACATGCAGCCCTAGACACACCTCCTCTGGCTGTGACTTAAACAGCCTGCATGAAAAAAAAATGGTTTCCTTTTCAATCAGATGTTAACTTACTTTCCTGCTCTGTAAGTTGAACTTTAATCACACACAGGAGGCTTATGCAAATCGTAGAAGGCTATTAACAGTGCAGGAGATAAGAAATAATAAATAACCTTACTGGGCAATAAAGGAAGTGTAAACATTATCTCATATTTTACAGGAAGTGCATACGAATGCTGTGCAGGTTACATACTGGGAGGAGTGGCTAAGGCTGCATAAACAAAGTGATTTCACTCATTAATGGCATAGAATTGAGAAATGAGAGTGCAGGGGCATGATCTATACACCAAAACCGCTTTATTAAGCTAAAGTTGTTTTGGGGACTCTAGTGTCCCTTTAATGTGCAATTATTGGAAATGTATGTAATAGTATTCTTTGTCCCATTTTTGTTTATACTTCAACTAAGCTGGGATATTTCTATTTTTAATTACAAACACAATTTTACTATTACATCTGTGCCAGGCTAGGCTTAGGTATGAATGACTTGTGCAACTGTATAGGGCACACACACAGTTAAAAGATGCAGCCATATTGCTAGCAATAGGCTGTTGTGGAATTGAGAGAACAGACCAACAAACAGGATGAGTCCTTGCTTTGTCTGGCTACCAAACCCACTGTCTCCAGTCCATCTGCTTGTTATCTGTTGTAGTGTTTCTGAACTGCCACTGCTCTGTCCCATTCTCAAAACACACATTCTCTGTAACTTACAACAGTATAGCAATACAAAGAAAGTTATGGTATGACAAAGAGAAAGTACTATGGGGTGTTAGGAAGAGAGATATGCAATATAAGTGAGGACTAAGGAGAGAGATGCATATAGGGGAGTGAGGGGGCTTATAAGAGAAAATGCAAGGGTGGGCTAAGGAGAGATCAACGGATACCTAAAGTTGTATTTAAAACATGTATGTGATATGCAATTACCATGACAGTTAAGCATTAAGGCTGGCTTAGCATCTTGGAAATTGCTATTAGATTATCAACTTATATTGACATTCTTCACACTTAAGCATAGGAAGAATATATGCACATTGCAAGCACACACCAGGTAACGGCGACAGCCAACAGACACTCATTGTAAACTCGACACAAGGAAACACTGATAGTTACGCACATAATGGCAATGCACATACAAGAGCACTGACATCTAATGACAATTCCCACACAGAATCTCTGACACATATTGATACTGCACAGACTGTACACAGTTATTTTGCACTCAAAGATACAGTCACATGTATTCACAATGGTTGGACACAAAAACTCTCATTTGCACAGATTGTGCAAACTAAATTTTTGATTTATTCACAGAAACATAGAATGTAACGGCAGATAAATACCATTCGGCCCATCTAGTCTGCCCAGTTTTCTAAATACTGTCATTACTCCCTGGCCTTATCTTATAGCTAGGATAGCCTTATGTCTATCCCACGCATGCTTAAACTCCTTTACTGAGTTAACCTCTTCCACCTCAGCTGGAAGGCTATTGCATGCATCCACTACCCTCCTGATATTATTTTTAAACCTTTGCCCCTCTAATTTAAGACTATGTCCTCTTGTGGTAGTTTTTCTTCTTTTAAATATAGTCTCCTCCTTTACTGTGTTGATTCCCTTTATGTATTTAAATTGTTCTATATTACCCCACGTTTTGTCTTTCCTGCAAGTTATACATGTTAAGTTCCTTGAAACTTTCCTGGTAATTCAAAGTCACTTATGACATTAACAGTATCACTCAGACAATCTTAAAGGGATACTATTGTCAGCAGAACCACTACAGCTTATAGCCTATTCTTGCAGGCTTTTTATTGTAAATGCTACATTTTCAGAGGCTGTCTAGTAACACCTCAGTTACTCATACAGCCACTAGAGGTACTTCGTAGTCCAGTGCAGCACAGTTCACAGTTATGTTCAGCGTCTTCATGCTCAACATGGAGATGCCGAATGCTCCCAATAGCGCTGCATTTTGGATTGTCTAAGGTCATCAAAAATGATGACCTCAACCATGGAGGCGGGACCAGTGTTGTAATGGAGAAAAGGTTAGTAAAGCTACATTTTAACTGCAGTCTGAGGGTGCCGGATACCTAAACAGGCACTCCAGCACATAGTGTTAGGAATACATGTTTGTATTCCTAACACTATAGTGTTCCTTTAAATGTGTCTTAGAGAGATTGACTGTTATATACCATAAGTGGATTTTACTACTATTACAATACGTTAAGGGCTAATGACGGATGACATTGGGGGCCCCACTTCTACATTTTGCACAGAGCACCTGAAAACCTGAGATCAGCCCTGGCCGTCATGACAGATGGCACATCCACCATGATAACATTGCATTTTTCTAAAGTATTGTCATTAAGGGGTTACGCATAACTCTTAGAGACTCATCAAACAACATCCATAAAAAAAAACAACAACATATGCAGCTAATATATCTCTCAAGTCCTGACTGACACTCTTTCCTTAATAGCTGTCTGTTGCTCTTACCTTTACTGCTAACTCATACTTGTAGGACTCCTACTGCGCTGGTCCTCTCTTCTGGAACAGCCCCCTACGCCCATCAGATTCTCCCCTAGTCGTCAATCATTTAAGAAGTCCCTCTAAACCCATCTCTTCAGAACAGCCTATGGCCTCTTGTTCTAACATTTGTAATTGTCTTATTTATTGTTAAATTTCTGGCTTTATATATAATAAAAATAATAATGACTTGACATGGGTACGTCAACAATTCATCCTGATGTTTTCAGATGACATGTCACTTTTTGTCTGCTACAAATTTAGCCATTTGGTATTGTGTTCTCTTCCAGAAACAGCGTATACTGAAAATGACTGTCACTTACTCTAGCAAAGTTGCCAACGCCACATTCTTTGGGTTCCACAGGCTGCTCGTGAAATGGAGGGGTAGCATCTACAAACTGCTTTATAGAGAGTTCTTTCTGTTCATCAGCTTATATACTGCACTGAGCGTCATATACAGGTATGTCAAAATGGGATTGGAAATAACAATTAAGCTGCAAATGCTAGCTCATTGTAATGGTTGTGGTGCAAAGAGTCTTTGGGTGCCATAACCCCAGTTTTGGTCAAACCATTTAAAATGTTAAATGGAACACGGGACCTCCATGATACCTACAAGATAGCTCCTTGCCTCCTTCTCACCTACCGGGGGAGTGATCGTCTATAGTAGAATGTCAAACATTAGGCTGAAAATGCGATGAAAATGAGTTGCAGAGGTTTTGTTGCTCTGAGCAATATGACTAATTTGTATATCCAAATATCCAACTGATATAATACAAACAAGGTTGCATGTCAGGTGTGGGCCAAGGGTTTCCAGTGCAAAGTTCTCCTCCCTTTATATGTCTTCTCCTTTTATATTACCCACCACTTTCATAGTAAAGTGAATCATAAGAAACATTTTCATTTTATCGGCATTAACCATTCAATAATCAACAATCTACCAAAAAAGTAAAATGTACACAGACAAGTACTGAATTCAACATAAATAGAGTTTGTGTATAATGCACTCACAAGGATAGGAGAAAAGAAGAACGTATCTCACACTTGTGGGTACACAACAGCGTCCTCTTGATATTTTCTCAGTAATTCTATATATAGTTATTAATTGTTTCCGGTCAATTTTTTGGTTTTAAAATTTCTGCTAAATTTAATGCCAGATGAAATTTAAGCAGATGAACCCAATAAATGTGTCAGCAGCTCAAAATTAAATCGCAGGTAAATGTACATGGGACACACATGTATCGGCCTTTTTCAGTGACTATTTACTTAATAAAAAAATATATATTTAACTTTTTTTTTTTAAAAGCCTAAGGGGTTCAATTTGACTTTCATTTTTAGTAAAATTGCCACCAGTCTTTAGCAGCGATAATTTAATCCGAAACGTTAAATTGCTTGTCGAAAGCCAATAAATGCGTTCGCTCTAATTAAATCTACGGAAACGTGATCACTAGTAGTTGTTACTAACCATAACACTGTAAAGTTTGGTGGAACACACTTCCCATTCCCAACATTTTAAACCAGTGTAAACATTCAGATTTCTTATGACAGTGTACGTTTGCGCACCTTTGTATAGCGTGTGTTTGAGGGCCTGTACATAAAGTAATAAGGAAATGGCTGGTGGGAAGGCTGCTATATTTTTCTGTGTTGGTAAATAAATGTATAATCTTGGGTGTGGGGTGGTACGTGTCTTGGTGGGTTGGTAGCTGTAGGTCACTAGGACAGTCGGACTATGTGAAGAGGGAAAAGGATGATGGGTAATATTTAGGAGAGTGGTCAAGTGTGGCAATTGGTGGATAAAATTCAGTTGGTGGGGTGACTGTGACTACATGTGTGTCTGTATATGATGTATGGGGGTATGTGACAGGGTGTATGTATGTGGATGGGTGAATGTGTCTGGGTAACAGTTTGTCACATACTCCCAATCTGTTATGAAGTGCATAGCAGGTTAATGCAACTAAATGGTGGCTGTGAGAGAGATTGGGTGAGTTCACATTACTGCCACTAATATTGTTAGCAAGCTAATAGAGTGTGTAATTGAATAGAGAATCCACGGAAGTTTCAGACAGAGTAATCCACCTTCAGACATGAGGTACCTTGGAGCATTGCACCGAAAGCACCCCACACGCTATGCACCCCACTTCACAAATTCAGCTATTTTAATCCTAAAACAAGCAAATATATGAATGTGTATTCTATTGCTTTTTTTGGTGCTGGTCCATTCTGTTATTTATTATAATTCAGTCATTTGTATATCTCTGGAGAAGGATTCTACATCGTGTGCCTGGTGGCAATGAGTACAGGTTCAGAATGTACACTAACACGTATAGAGTTTCAGGCTGGTGCATAGAATTCCGTTGCAATGTCAGCTATGGTGACTGTGGAAATTGGACCCTACGTAAGCAGAGATAGTCATATATCACTTACTAATGTGTTGACGTAATTTAATTGCTATTTTTCTCCTTTGTGCAAAAATACCTCCTTGTCCCCTTCTAAAACAGCACTTTGAAGGTGTTCAGCAAAAGGTAATCAGACAAAAATAATCTCATATTACAAAGTATGCAGTGTCCATGATCATGGTCCATGCAATTTATGGTATGATTGGAGATACAAACAAACTTTATACCAAACATGCTATAATGGTTTGTTTCTCTTCTCAGTTTAAATATTTTAAGTAACTGCTATAGAGTGAAAACCTACATTTTTAGGATACGCGTTCTTGGGATATTTATTGCAATATAAAGTGCTTCCTGCTGAGTTTATACTCTGTACTATGCCATCGTACTTGGTATGTGCCATCTGTTCCTCTCTACCTTCCTGTTATGATGTACCTTGTAGTCAGGGCCAGATTTCCCTATAGGCAGAGTAGACACCTGTCCACTAGGGGCGCCTGTTTTTAGCACTTATAATGTGCCTCCACACTCTGCATTATTAGGCGTTATTGGGGTTTATGAGCCCCTAATATGACTATCTGTGCCTAATAATTCCTAATTATTGCAAAGTCAGTTTTAAAGTTAAGGCCAACCTTAAAAGCATAGCTGACTTTAACAATCTTTAAATTTCAGCCATTTTCACCTTAAATTTGAAATTCACTTTTAATACATTTAGAATTTTCAATAATTCTCCCTAGTGCATACCACTGATAGTTTTTAGTAAACATTTTAGGAATGCCAAGTGAAGTTCCAATTTTAGTCCAATATAGAGCTGAAAGCATCGCTGATTTGATATTCCCAGGCAAGTCTCAAGAGAAGTTAAACTCTCTGATTGGGTTGTAGTGAAGCAGAGGCAGCATTGCCTGCTTGTCTTCGAGCCAGTGTTGAATGTAGTACTGGTGGATGACTTTGGTGCGTATTGTCAAGGTCAGAGTACTGGTTGTTTTGGTTGTGGTAATGCAGCTAACAAGTCCAGAAAGCACGAACAGAAACTCTGCCTTCCCCTCGGACACTTATTTCTTATAGATTTGTGAATGCATTTTAACTTTTCTGGGTATTATAAATAATTTAATCTAGGTAATGTTGTGTTACACTAATTATTTTAGCCTGTAGAGCACCCTCTGTTGGTAGCAACAGCTATATGCACTACCTGAATAGCAAGGCTTGTTAATTTGCATATTCAGGTAGATCTGCATATTGCTAATTCTGCAGAGAGGAGAGATATTTTGTGTTAAATATTTTCTTCCCCATCCCTTAATAAATATGTTATTATAATTCCCTGTATGTTTTCTGACATGTTTTGGTTATTTGTATTTTATTAATACTTGATGTAATGAGCATATGGGCTAGCCCCAAATTAAAATAAAGCTTTGCATGTTAGTTCCTATTGGAACTGTGTGTTCTGTGTGGATTTTTAGGGTTCCCAGTAACAGTCTTTGGACCTGTTGGCTGGCTGCACGGCCCCTCTAGCCCTGGGATAAATCAAGAAAACTAGGCCAGAGAGCTGCAAGTGCCTTTGTAAAGGCAATAGCAATCAGTATAAGCAGAGCTGCAAAGGGAACTATACCTGCCTGGAAGGAAAGCTGCAGAGGGATAGGCAGAGGGGATGATACCTGCCTGGAAGAACAGTTTGGTCAGGTGGAAGAGTTCAGGAGAGACCCCAGTCAAGCTATTGCGACTGGGGCTGAAGCATTCCAGGCTCCATTCCCAACGGTTAGGAAACAGATTAGGTGGAGGTACTCAGTTGGAGTTGAGGAACTCAGTCACAATCGTCATCTGCACTTGTGCAATCACATATGTCGTGAACTCTTTTGCTCTACACAGTACACCTTGCCATTGCATGATAAAGGATATTTGTTTTAAAAAAACAAAAACACCAAAAAAAACACAAAACTATATATTTAGTTTAAAAATCTGAATTAAAAACTGTTGTTGGGGGGTGGGGGGCGTGGCTTGACCGAGTACCAAGCTGGACGTGTAAGCCTAGAGCTCCGCTTCGACCTCCTCATAAAAAGCTCACTTAAGCTTACCTAAAGTACCTACTCTCCAGGTTACCAGCTCCTGAGGTACCCTGGACAAACGTACTCCTCGCAAACCACCCAAAAAACCTTCAGATAGGGGTGCACAGTCCTGTTTGCAGCCTCCCACGCTTCGCGCCATGAGGCACAAGATGGCAGCAAAATCAACTTCCTCACGCCGGACTCGCCTGTAGGCGCTGTAGCCTCCCAACCCCCAGGCACCCTATCTGAGGAAGCACCGCAGTTATTGGCAAAATTGGTGGACATAAGGACCTTCCTAGCCCGGGAGATCGAGTGGTCCTCCAAGGCCGTGATGGCGGAGATACACTCCCTGGGCGCACGGACGGTGGCCCTGGAACAACGCCTAGACACTAAGTCTATGACCCACAATACGGTCGTATACCATGTTACCAATTTAACCACCTGACTGGAGTCTGTTCTATCCATCTTGTGGCCTTTACTTCCAGACATACCTCCTAACTAGTGGCTGGTGGAACGGGCCCATAGGGCTCTCCCGGCATGGAGAGAAGATAACCTACAACCCCGTGACATAACCGTGCACTTCCTCCACTTCCAGACCAAGGAAGCAGTGCTGAAGTGGAGTCGGGAAGGCCCTATAACATATCAAGACCATGAGCTCGCATTTTATCAAGACCTCGCACCTTCCACTCTGCAGAAAAGGAGAGAGTGGAAGCCAATTACTGAGATTCTAATGGGCTAATGCCCTCAAGTATTCATGGGGCCACCCTTTTAAACTCATGGTCTTCAAGGACGGTCGTCCTCACGTCCTCCTGCGTGGCGCTGACCTGCTTCGCTTCTTCCACAACCTGAGCATTAAGGCCCCAGCGACTTTCATCATGCTGAAACAGATGACTACGGCGCTGCTGACCCTTCCAAGTGATCTAAGGGTCCACACCTGGTCCGGTATTTTTCTCCTTCCTATATTCTGCCCTACTCTCTGCCAGCAGACACCAGGATTTTGGATCTCCCCCACCACCATCTACCTATGTCCCGCAGGGATTCCCACCTTCCCCTGGAGTGGGGTGATGGGATGTGGATTGGTGCCTTCATCTACCTGGCTCTGACGCAGAACTGGTCCTCCCGGGCTTGGCACCCGCAGTGGTGTGACCCTGGATGCCAGGACATGCTGTGGAAGTCTATCCGACCTCAGGTGCAGCGCTTGTTACTCATATCCTTGTTAGTTTTGGGACCCTTGTAACATTGCACCTGGGTGACAATAGTTACGGTTGCAATGTTAACTGGGTTAACTGGGTGGACCATATTACTCCCATATTACACTGCGTTACAAAATAATGAAGGTTCCATCTCACATAGTCAGTGGTCCATCCTGACCCAATAACCAGGCAGGCATGGTTCAGGGGGCCCAGTCTCTCTCCTAACGAGAATGAATACACAGAAGACCCTCCCCCCCATACCCGTGCCCATGTATTTATTTGCAAAGAGAAAATCAGTTTCCCTCCCCTCCAACCCTATACAGCAAAAAATAAAAGCACACATTTAATGAATTGATTAATTACATTCATGATAAATCTTTTGTTTATTCCATTGTTGCACCATTTAGTTCATTATTAACTTGGACATATCAGCTAATTAAAGAAAATTCAGACTTTTAGATTTTGATTCAGCCAATAAAGAATGATTATGTCTGATGGCCATTAATGGGCAGTAACTAAAACTGAATCACACGACTATAATTGAAATACAGTGTCTATAGTCCATGGTCGCCACAAGCTAAGTGTTAATATTATCTAGATTGAGATAGTGGGTTACTCTGTATTAGTTGTTCGGTATCAGCAGTTCCTAGCTTCTAGGTCAGGACCTTAAAATCAGATCCCCATTGATAAAAAGAGGCACTGCATATTGATCAGGACCCAGGCAACTGTCACAATAAGCTGGTTACTGTTACAGCTTTGTAACAGAATTGTGTGCCCCAGTGTTCTGAAAAATACTTTGATAGAGGGAAGGGTCTAATGACATTGAGAAAAGAATAAACGTATCTAATGGATTGATTAAAGTCATGATTAATTTTTAGTTTATTTCATCGATGTGCCATTAAGTTCATTATTAATTCGGACGGATCAACGAATATATGAAAGAAAATTCTGATTTTAATTCACCCAAAAAAGAATGCCGATGTCTAATAGTCATGAAAGTAAAGAAACTTAATTGTAAATGTCAATGTTAGTTTTTATCACAGTTGGACAATGGGTCGCCAAGCTAATGTCATAAATGTAATTTGAGTCCCAGACAAAAAATGTAAGAGCTTCTGTTTTACATATTTGTCAGGTGCAAAGTCATCCTGCCTTTAGATATAGAAATACCCTGATAATTTCCCAAATGTAACATTAAACAATTATTTTTTTATGTCACTCTTCAGACGGGAACATTGCTGTCACCAAGGTTGGCCATCAGAGAATGGGAGTGACAAATACTATGCAAAATATATTATAATTAATTGTTCACTGCAAAGAAAAAAAAGTTGTATCCAGAGAAGGATTAAGATCCCATGGGGCCCTAGGCATGTTTTTTTTTTTTTTTTAATTAAAAGATAATTGTAGAAATTGTGAATTTATTTTATCTCTGCTACAGATTCCTTCTTACAGAAAGTCACAAACGTTACTTTGAAAAACTCGCACTTTATTGTGACAAATATGCTGAGCAAATCCCAGTAACATTTGTGTTAGGTAAGTACTGCCTGCATGTGCAGTCCATGCCACATACTGCTTACATTGAGAAGACCTATCCCATTTTGCATGTATCCCCTCCGTGGAGGAATCTCATACATCAGGGGCAGGCTGGCTCGTACTCTTCTGTCAATGAATCTTATTCAATATAGTTCCATGCCCACATAGGCGAGGATTATTTTATAATTGCAAGCAAATAAGCAGCTATAGTTTATTGTAGTGAGCAGTTAATATTCTCCCAGAAGGCTTTAGCCAGCCTACCCTTGAATCCAGATTACTAATACTGTTTGTCACACATTGTATTATTTTGACTTGCTGATTGCTACATTTTTTGAGCAGCACCAATGTGTCTAAGTTGCACAATGTATCCTAGAAACTGAAGTGGTTTCTGTTCCCAGAATAAAAACATTGCTTTACTTTAGTGCTATGAGAAAGACAATTGATATGCTTCTCAAAGAGGCTCTGTCACCTTTTTGGGGTCTTTGCACTTATAGTATTGATGCCCGAAGGTGACAGCCCTGGTTAACGGATAAGCAGTGAAGTTAAAGGCAAATATACTTAGCTAGGACTCTAGTCCGTCACAGACTCTGCCATCTTCCATCTTCAGTTCCCCATGCTTCCTCCACCAGGAACCTGAATCACTGCAGTACTCTTGCACATGCGCGAGAACACAACACAGAGGTTTATGGAGGAACCAATGAGAAAACAGAATCCGCCATAATTCAATTCTCGCAATTTGTGCAAGATGATCCCTGCTTTGTCAATATTTGATAGACAAAGTAGTCCCCGCTTTGTCTTATGGTATCTTTTCATTGCATTAGAATTTCAATTCAATTTTAACTAAGTCAATATGAGTATTTTAAAAAGATTTTATATTTATGACATACTCAGAAAGTATATTTTAGAGTCACTTTAATCGTATGCAAACTGTCACACAAAATATGTTGGTTTATTTTTTTATTTCTCTCGATAGCCTTACTAACCTTTCTGATTTGTATTTTAGTTTTTCAGCAAAGCCTGCCTTTTAACCCCTTAAGAACACATGACATGTGTGACATGTCATGATTCCCTTTTATTCCAGAAGTTTGGTCCTTAAGGGGTTAAATACAATGAACTCAGCACTTTTAATTTAAAGACCATTCTTTTGCACTGATAGCCACTGTCATATGGCATTGCTCCTTGGACAAATGGCTGAAACTCAAAATGAGCAGTCCATCAGCGTACTTAACGCTTAAAGCAGAGCTATTCTTTTCAAGTGGCAGAGTGGTACACTTTGTAATTGTTTCTCTCGTTTGAATATTACTCCAACATCTAAAGTAAACAGTGTGTGCAAGAAAGTCATTCCAAAAATGGAAACCCTTTTTTCCTGGATGAAAGACACTTGTGACAAGGGTCGAACGAATTGATTTCTGTCTTGTGGGCAATTCCAGCAGATTGACATAGAGGTACCTCAAAAACCAAGCTTCATCTCATTTTCAAAAAAGAAATCTTTAAATAAAAGCTAAGTACAGAAAATACAGAAACCAAAGCAAGTGGAATTAGATGCCAATTGTGTAAAGGTAGTGCTACATACAGTTTATTTGAAGGACAAAATAGAAAAAAAAAATGTTTTGGGTTTCCCCTTTGTCAATGCCAACATTTCCTTACATCCTTACTTGATAAGGACATTCTAGAATTTACAAAGGGGAAACCCAAAATGTTTGTTTCTATTTGGTCCCTCAAATAAACTGTATGTAGAACTCCCCATGCAAAAATGGTATCTAGCTGCGTTGCCTTCATTACTTTATTTTATGTTCTTGGATTTGACCCTGCTTTGAGCAACATGGTGCAAGGTTAGCAGCAAAGAGTTATTAGTTTTTGATTTTTTTCCCCTCTCTGGCCACATTAAATATAAAAGCCGTACAGGGTAAAAATTGGGCTGTTGGTGACAGTGGCATGTTTATATATTTTAAGATTTTTACCCTGAAAGAAGATATATTAATATTTCTCTTATTTTTGAATATGCACTAGACGCAGGCATAGGCAACCTTCGGCACTGCAAATGTTTTGGACTACACCTACCATGATGCTTTGTCAGCATTATGTGTGTAAGAGCATTATGGGGGATGTAGTCCACAACATCTGGAGTGACGAAGGTTGCCTATCCCTGCACTAGGGAGTGCAAACAATAAAATATGGTTACTAGATTAGATGTAGAACAAAAACAAATAGGTAAACTTCATTACAAGTTAGGTTTAATTGTAGATATAGGGATTGAGATATTTTAGAATATTACAGAGTGGTGGGAGACTGTGCAAATTCTTTTGAAGAAAGCTATTTGATTTACTGTATTTATCGGCGTATAACACGCACTTTTTCTCCCTGAAAATAGGGGGCAAATTATGGGTGCGTGTTATACGCCGGCCCTTTAAATGCTGCAGCCGTCTGAGCGCTCTGTCAAGAGCGGTCAGGCGGCTGCAGTTGGTTCTCACCTCCCCTCGACCTGTAGCATGGCCGAGCTGCTCTGCTGTCCGCGGTGCCCGGCCGGAGTGATAGGAAGGTGCGCGGAACAGGAGTTTCTGTTTCCTGTACCCAGTCGGACTGACAGGAAGGTGCACACTGAGCGTGCACCTTCCTATCACTCCGGCCGGGCACCGCGGACAGCAGAGCAGCTCGGCCACGCTACAGGGGAGGGGGTAAAAAGAGAGTGGGGGGAGTAAGAAGAGGGGGAGGGTAAGGGGGTGAGGAGGGTAAGAAGAGGGAGGGGGAGTAAGAAGAGGGGAGGGGGGGTAAGAAGGGGTAAAGAGGGGAGGGGTAGAAGAGGGAAGAAGAGGGGGAGGTAAGAAGTAACTAGAGGGGAGGGGGGTAAGAAGAGGGTAGAGGGGAGTAAGAAGGGGGAGGGGGGAGTAAGAAAAGAAGAGGGGGAAGTAAGAAGAGGGGGAGGGGAGTAAGAGAGGGGGTAAGAAGTTCTTTATTTGAAATTTAAGGTTTTTTTTCCTGAAATTTCCTTCTTAAAATGAGGTGCGTGTTATACGCCGATAAATACGGTATTTCCTTTTTGTAATGAGGAAATGTTCATAAAGTACTTACAGTGAACGGTAGGTTAGAGGTGATGTGCACAGCTGGACAGATGGAGTGAGTATTCTTCTCAAGTAGTATAGAAATGTTCTAAATATGTCTAGCAGGCTCATAGAAATGCGCAGCCCATTTCGTTAGGTTGTGCAACGGGAAATTCTTCCCCAATGTTATATTTTAACGTTATGTAATGTCCATATTAAAGGGACACTATAGTCACCAAAACAACTTTCGCTTAATGAAACAGTTTTGGTGTATAGCTCATGCCCCTGCAGTCTCACTGCTCAATTATCTGACAAAATGACAAAGTGTGATGTGTGTATTGCTGTAATTAATGTGCATTACTGTGTGTGGGTAGCTTGGAGTGATGTGTGTGGTTGAGTGCGAGTATCTTCAAGGCTGACATGGGACATAAAATAGTTCTAGACGTTTTATGACATAGTAGTGGTGCATTTTCACATTTTAGAAATGCAACTTTTTCTCTTTAAGATTTCAATAATATAAATACGACAACCTCACTAACACAAATATACATATATAGAGACTGCAATCAGTCACTGAAATGTTCATTTAGAGAGACACGCCTATGGATTGAGACCGGCAGGGGAGATCTCAGGATCTCCCCTGTCGGCTCATGCAGAGCACCGGCTCTGCTCTAAGCCTCCATGGGCCGTTGGGGAGATCAAAGATCTACCTCACCGGCCCACAGCAGCATGGAGGGAGGCAGGATCCGGGATCCAGCCAGCAGATCCACTGGGTTCCTCTCGCGAGATCTGAGTGTTGCCGCAGCATTGCACAGATCTTGTGAGAGTGAACTCTAGCCCCGCAGGCTAGAGTTCACTCTCCACTGGACCACCAGGGATGGCACATGGCAGTAAGGATCCCCCCTCCCTACATAAGGTAAGAAGGATATTTACTAATCTGCCCCCACCTCCACCCCCACAATCCCTCCAAACATACAGCACACACACAGCACCCTCACACATACAGCACCCTCACACTTAAAGCACCCACACACATACAGCACCCAAACAGCACCCACACACACACAGCACCTACCCACATACAGCACACAAACAGCACCCCCACACACACACACAGCACACAAACAGCACCTACACACATACAGCACCCTCACATACGCACACACGCACACACACACTACACTAACAGCACACACACAGCACCCTCACTCACAGCACACACACAAACATCCTCACCCACATAGCACACTGCCAGCACCCTCACACACACACATCACACAAACAGCACCCTCACAAACACAGCACCCTTACACAGCACACTAACAGGACCCTAACAAACACACACACAAACACCCTCAAACACACACAGCACACTACCTGCACCCTCACACACAGCACACAAACAGCACCCTCACACACACACACAAACACCCTCACCCACATAGCACACTACCAGCACCCTCACACACACATCACACTAACAGCACCCTCACACACAGCACCCTCACACAGCACACTAACAGCACACACACACAGCAGTGTATGTATGTGTGTGTGTGTGTGTATATATATATATATATATATATATATATACATATATATATACATACATACATATACACGCGGGGTGTGTTTGTGCTTTAGGGTGCACACCCTAATGCAATAGGCTGCGCATGCCTATGAAGACACATAGAAATATGCACATGCATGCAGACATACTTACAGATACACACATAAATACAGATTCACAGAAACATATACAAGTACAAACATACATATACACAGATACACATTCAGTCATACATGCAAACACATTCATAGATACATATAGGCAAGGTTCAACATTTTCAGGTCCTGGGCTACTAGCCAGGCTGAAATTTAGTCACCACTTCAAATGCACATAGATATATATGTTCTAATTTTTTTTACACATTGAGTAGGTTCCTCCCTCCTCAAGGAGACAATAACCTACAGATGTTCTTAAAAAGCTGATTTCTTCGCTAGTAAACAAACTAGTCACTTATTCACTCCCATAACTAACCACTCAAACAGTAACAGGCATAGTGACACACACAGCCATACGTGAGGATGCACTCACAGATACACACAAACATACACACACTCACAGTTATACAAACATATTCAACTGCACACTCAGGGACACATATACACATAGATATACACTCTTAGAAATACAGATACACAGTGAAACATACAGACATATGAGAATAAATACATGTTGGAATTGGTGGAATTTCTATGTAGTAGAAATAGGAAAGGGAGATTCAAGTTAGCTGCCCCTCGGCCCAATATAACTAGTGGGGGGGTAGGTGCTGTAGTAGGGTGCTTAGGGCAGTTATAGGCAAGGGGGGCTGTAGTGAGGGGATAGGGGCTGTAATGAAGAATAGAAGCTTTGGGGGGGGGGGGAGGCTAGGGGCTGTAGTGGAATTTAGGGGCAGTGCCAGTGCAAGGATTTTTGAATACATAGGCAAAGAGGCATTTTTCCGCCGCCCCCCCCTAAAAATAACATCTTCACCTATGTGCCTCTTAACCAGCCACTCTCCCCTCCCCGTCCATTAGTTTTCCCCTCCCTTCCCTGTCCCTTAGTGTTCCTCTCCCCTCCCCCTCTTTTCCCTGTCCCTTGGTGTTTCTCTCCCCTCCCTGTCCCTTGGTGCACCCCCCACCCCCTTAGTGGTCATACTCCCCTTCCTGGTGTGCCTCCTACCTCTCTTGTAGCGTTGCCGAGCAGATCCTCTAAAGGAGCTTCAGTTTTCTGTACCCACTGGACTGACAGGAAGTGCTCTCTCAGTGAGTACCTCCTGTCAGTCTGGCCGGGTACAGGAAAAAGAAGCTCCTGTACTGCGCTCCGCTCCGCCATGCTACACTCAGTGGTGTATACACACTCACAGTCACACACACTCAATAAGAAGCACACAGACTTCACTGACAGACACAGACTCACTGATCTGACACACACTCATTCATTGACAGACACACACTGATAGTCACACACACAGGGCCGGCATTAGGGGATGACAACCATTTTCTGCTGTGTTTGCCTAAATGTTACCACTATGACTTCAATGTGCTACAATCTACTATTTTATAATTACATTTTTAATTTGCAGAGACAGTGTATGCATTGGCTAAATGAACATCACTTACAGAAACTTTAAATATGCTACCACAGATATGCTAACATACATGATCATGTGAAACACGCAGGGTGGAATGTATGCATTCAGTGTTGTATCTATTTCGGCATGTGCAAACAAATAAAATTACATTATTGTACTTCAATGTTTGTAACTAATATCATACAGCCAATGTCAAAGTACAATGTGATTTGTTTGTACAAAATCAACAAACAGGTGACGATGCATAATGTAATGCAATATTAATAGACAAAATTAGCTGGAAAAAAAATATTTTACTTCTGTTTTCCCAAAGAAATCTACTAAACTTGTACTTGATAATTCTGACTTTGTTTCTTCACTTGCTGGTCAGTTCTGATCTTGACGATACTTATTCTTATTCTAAAATATCTCGTATATTTTTCAGTTCAGTTGTGATGAATTCAATTAAATATTGCAGTTGTAGACCAAGAGGTGGAGGTCTCATGCTATTGGTCCACAAATGTAAACTTAATACTGTTTGTTCTTATGCTAGAAAGAACTTCTCCATTATTGTGACTCGAGGGTGAAACACCAATTTTTAAATGAAAGCATTTCACTATATTATTATTTACTTTGGCCTTGATTTAATATTTTTTTTAAAAGCTTTTCAAATTATTTCATTGCATTTGCCCCTGCGTTGTTACTGCTCCATTCTATTCAATTCTCTGCCGTTTAGTGCTTAAATCACTTTGTTTATGCAGCCCAAGCCACACTTCCACTGACATACTCACAGAACTTCTATGAAAAAAGGTTTTGTTTTTAAAACAATCTTACTGTACACTGTGTTTTCTTTAGAAGTTCTTCTCTGTTGCTCGAACTAGACAATTACCAGTAATAAGAAGCCAGGTGAGGTCTTAAGCAATATAATTTGATTCTGAAATAGCAGAGAACTGAGCAGTGAGACTGCAGGGCAAAATTTGTACACCAAAACCATTTTTTTAAGCTAATGTTGTCTTGGTTTTTAGAGTGTCCCTTTCATTGGCTGAACAAAGTAGGTATTTCAGCATAACAATATACTTAGTCCAATACTGGCATCCTAACAAAGCTGGAACACCCAGATAGAATATACAGATACGTTTGTTATGTCCCAGCCAACATTGCATTATGATAGCCAGCAGAAGTTTCACCTTACTTGGTATTTAAGAATGTATGTCATGACAACCGTAGACAAACTAAATAAAATATGACCCAAACCAATGAGTCCCCTTTTGTGTTGTGAACGATATTCTCCTTTCTTTCATTTGTACAGGTTTTTATGTCACTCTAGTCGTAAACAGATGGTGGAACCAATTTGTGAATCTTCCATGGCCTGACAGACTCATGTTATTAATCTCCAGTAATGTACATGGAAGAGATGAATACGGACGCCTAATCCGGCGGACACTTATGCGCTATGTGAACCTAACATCTTTACTGATCTTCCGCTCTGTCAGTACTGCTGTTTACAAAAGATTTCCAACCATGGACCATGTTGTAGAAGCAGGTATATCGTTATAATAGCTTAGTTGGGGCTCTAATGGAATGGTTTTAATAATTATATTAGATCAGAACTAGGATACTGGATAAACAATAGTTGATGTTGGGCTGAATAAACATATTTATGGAGAATAGAAGGCCACCCTTTCATAGTTCTGTTTCCCTGCCAGCTGATTTTATACTTTTTTAGCAGATTAGGGTGAGATGGGGTTATGTTCTGCAAGGTTTACTATTCAGGCAGGTGGCATGCTCAAGCCTGTTCCCCATAGAGGTTACTTGATGGCATAAGAACCCACATGCACAATGGCAAAAGATGATTTCTCAACAAGTCAATCAAGAAAAATAATGTTAAAGGGATAGCGTAGTCACCAGAACTACTACAGCTTAATGTAGTTGTTCTGGTGTCTACAGCCTGTCCCTGCAGGCATTTTAATGTAAACACTGTGTTTCCAGAGAAATACAATACTGACAACAAACACCTTGTGATACAGCTCTGGTACTCCAACCAAGTACCTCCACTACGTCTGCGTCAGGGGACCATAGAGCACTAGAGACCCAGTCGCAGACGCTTGACTGGAGTCTCAGGAACTCTACCACCCGACCAGGTGGCATCTCTCTGCTTCCAGGCAGGTATTGTCCCCTCTGCCTTTGCCTCTTCAGCTTCTCTCCCAGGCAGATATTAACACCTGCACTGTGATGAGCAACTGCCTTTACAAAGGCACTTGTGGCTCTCAGGTCTATCTCTCTTTTTAACTTGTCTCTAGATAAAGGGACCAAGCAGCCAGCCAACAGGTCTGAAGACTCTCCTACTAGGGTCCCTGAATATATCAACCAGGACACACAGTTCCAAAGGCAGCTAACATACAATGCTTTATTGTTTAACTAGGACTAGTCTTTGCTTACTAGTCCTTAAGCATGTAGTGAAAACCATACAATTATAAACAACATACATAATGTGAAGTACAAGCAACATAATAATGCCTCAAATATGTAACATAATTCCAACTTTCCAAACTATGGGAAAAAAGAGAGAGATATCTAGATGCAACTTATCTGTTTTTACAATATCCTAATTTGCATATTGTGATTATGCCAACAATGCATTTTTCAGTGCCAAACAACACAGTGCAAAGGAGAGTCTGGAGGAATGCCCTTTTAAAACAAGGATATTCCAACCTTGCAAACCCAAGCCAGGGTGGAAATCAGAATTCCATTCAAGGCCAGGGCCCATAGTTTGTGGGAAGGAGGCTGACCTGCAGACCTCCCCATCTACCTATCTAGTGGCATACGCAATACCCTACAGTTAAGATTAAGATTATAGTCAGTGTTAATGATAAATGTAGTCATGTGAACTTAGAAAATTCTAACTTGATCCTGGGTTCAGGGGAGAGGAGGTTGTTGGTGTCCCTCCCCAGCGTTAGGTTGAGTTTCATGGAGAGGATGTAGCAGGCTATTCAGTCTCAGCTAATGTGTGGAGAAAAAATGCTATAATCACTGCTGCTGCACAGGATAGACGGCATCAAGAGAAGGGAACTATAACCACTGTAACCCTTCCAGTAGAAAAGGTCCCCAGAGACCCCAGTCCAGCTTTGGCGACTGGGTCAGCGCTTTAGAGTCCCCTGATATTGTCGATGAAGTTGACCGAACAGAGGTACTCAGACTGAGTACAGGAGCTTCGGTATGTGATTTAACTAGGGAACCCAATTGAGCACCACACAGGCATGTTCCTATAGAATTTATAGAAGCAATGTGCCAATGTTTTGCTCTTAAAGCCGCAGTAAATGTATAATTTGTTATATTATATGTTCTTTTTTTACTATAATGTTAAGATGTGAAATACCCCAGCAGATATATGACACTGATAATCCTTTAGACTGTCCAAATATAACTATACTTCCCTACATAGAAAGTTTATTTGTTATGATGCCTTTGTATTCCGTTAAAGGTTTTAATGTATACACGGGGGTTATTTTTACACAGGATTTATGACAGCGGATGAAAGGAAAGTGTTTGATAATCTTCAATCGCCACATCTTAAATACTGGGTTCCAGTAATCTGGTTTGGAAATTTGGCATCTAAGTCAAGAGCCGAAGGGCGAATCCGTGACAGCGTAGATCTACAAATAATGATGAATGTAAGCAAGAAAGAGTGAAAGGAACACTGTAGTTGTAATGGTGCCCAGAGGTCCTGGTCACCATCTTATTGTAAAGGTTAAACTATTTATGAACTATCTCATCGCAAATTGATCCATATAGCGTCCTTCCTCCTGTGTCTCATCCCTTCAGTGCAGAATTCTTGAACTTGTGACGGAGAGTCAGAGATTAAGTTGTTATGTTGGTCGGGGTGCTCCTTTAAATTAATGTGTTTATTAAATATTACAAGCTTTGTTACTATAAACAGGGACTCATTCAGTGAACAGACAACTGTAGTGAACTAAAATGCATGCTGTTAAACTACATCAATATGTTAGTAGAAGTTGTTAAAAAAAGAATTAATCCTAATCACACAATAATCCAGCAAGGGGAGCGAGAAAAACGTAATGGAAACTCATGATAAATTGTATTTAAGATGCTTTTTTCGTGTTCTCTTAGTATTATCTTTTTATAGAAACATAGAATGTGACGGCAGATAAGAACCATTCGGCTCATGTAGTCTGCCCAATTTCCTAAATAATGAAACAAAGAAAATGTAGATGAGATATAGGATCCTACCCACAGTTGATGCCGCAACTCCAAGTTAGAATGTCTTAATTGTCAGACAGATTGAATAATCCTAAAGTTAAATGGGTGATGGGGCTGAATCCTGGGGCTGGACTTTACCCAAACGTAGAAAACATCTCCCAAAACAAGTATGGTAGTCCGCACCCAGGGGTTAACCCCTATGATCCACAGAAAAAATGTACAAATAAAAACACTGAGAAAGTGAACATTTATTTGATATGAAAAAATAGCAACAATGTATGGCATTAAATTATCATGGCAGCATTTGTGTATACTGCATTTTAAAGCAGGTGTAATGAATAATGCAAACAGTATGAAGTTGTCAAAAATAGTACAAGTATCCAGGCGAAAGAAACAAACTTGCAAAAATAGGAACACTTGCTGCAATGTCAAAATAGTTGCAATACCTGCTACTGCCGGACAAGAGGGAGACCAGCTACACCGCTGCCCAAAAAAATTAAAGTGAGTACCCTAGATGCGTTTCGCACCTTCCTCACCTCGAGGGAGGTGCGAAACGCATCTAAGGTGCTCACTCTATTTTTTCATATCAAATAAATCTGCATTTTTTCCGTATTTTAAGCTGTATGTTTTTTCTGTGGATCATAGGGGTTTACCCCTGAGTGCAAACTACAATACTTGTTTTGGGAGCAGTTTTCTAAATACTTTCATTAGTCCCTCGCCTTATCTTAAAGGACCACTCTAGGCACCCAGACCACTTCAGCTTAATGAAGTGGTCTGGGTGCCAGGTCCTTCTAGGGTTAACCCATTTTTTAATAAACATAGCAGTTTCAGAGAAACTGCTATGTTTATGAATGGGTTAAGCCTTCCCCTATTCCCTCTAGTGGCTGTCTCATTGACAGCCACTAGAGGCGCTTGCGTGCTTCTCACTGTGATTTTCACAGTGAGAGCACGCAAGCGTCCATAGGAAAGCATTGTAAATGCTTTCCTATGTGACGGGCTGAATGCGCGCGCAGCTCTTGCCGCGCGTGCGCATTCAGCCCAGAAGGAGGATCGGAGGAGGAGAGGAGGCAGAGAGCTCCCCGCCCAGCGCTGGAAAAATTTAAGTTTTTAACCCTTTCCCCTTTCCAGAGCCGGGCGGGAGGTGGTCCCTGAGGGTGGGGGCACCCTCAGGGCACTATAGTGCCATGAAAACGAGTATGTTTTCCTGGCACTATAGTGATCCTTTAAGTCTAGGATAGCCTTATGCGTATCCCATGCGTGCTTAAACTCCCTCACTGTGTTAACCTCTACCACGTCAGCTGGTCCACTATCCTCTCTGTTGGGCTCTTCCAGGATTTTTGTTTAAGTCATTTATTATTTTCTGATGTCCTAAAATATGTAACATTAAAAATTGTATGCATACAATGCTTGTGTATATGTGCTGTATACTCACAGCCTGGAACCACTTGTGCATTTTCTGTTACTGTCGATCTTATTTCAGGAAATGAATCGCTACCGATCCTGGTGTGGTCTCCTTTTTGGCTATGACTGGGTCGGTATTCCACTGGTATACACACAGGTATGTAAAGATATATTATATAAATTGTATAATAAGATAACTTGTAGCATTTGGTTTTGTCATTGTCTTCATATAACAATATGGTTTTTTTTTCAGGTAGTAACACTTGCGGTATATACTTTCTTCTTTGCTTGTATAATTGGACGCCAGTTCTTAGACCCCAGTCAATCATATGCCGGCCATGACCTCGACCTATACATTCCAGTTTTCACTCTCCTGCAGTTCTTTTTCTATGCAGGTTGGCTAAAGGTAAATGTAATCTGATTAATAAATACGGTGTTCTATTTTTTTTATATTTCTTTATAATATATTAAATGCGAACTCTATATTTATTTTTATCATGGTCATAAAAAAATCTTTAGTGGACAAAACATGTGTGATATTAGAAAGACACTCCACTGCCCAAATGAAAAAGTAGATATGCCCCAAATGAAAACATGCATACATTTAATTATACATTTTTTTTCATTGGGGATATATCTAAAAACAGCTTGCAAAAGCTGGAGATCTATTGTCTGAAACTTTGTAAGTCCTCCCCTTCTAACCCCGCCCAGACTTTCTGTGGCTGTCCAATCACAGACTTTCCAATGCAGTTCAATGAGAAGTCTTTGCAAGGCAGGTGCTCTGAGCAATTGCTGCCTCTTGAGATTAGCTAAACAACCCAGGAAGTAACAGGACTATTTGTCTACTTGAAAACCAAGGGGTGTAAAAAGGTTAATTCAAAAAATGCCAGTTTCTGTTGTTATGTAAAATTAAATAAAATACCGGTAGGACATATTGCCAACACATTAAATTTGCAACAATGTCTCAGAAGCAATCATTTCCCTTTGCAGGTTGCTGAGCAACTAATCAACCCCTTTGGCGAAGATGATGATGATTTTGAAACTAATTGGTGTATAGACAGAAACCTACAGGTCAGTTTTGTTAAAAATGTTTTATAAATATGACCTATAGCTGCATCTTCTTTCTTAAAATATAGTGCAAAAAAATATTTTTCTTTGTACACTGATAAACCATTTTTGTAAAAAAAAAAAAATTGTGAACTTTTATATCAATGTGAATTTGCACTGAGCCACATTCATTAAAAAAAATTAGAATATTTAACTGTGCATTTTCTTTTTGTCTTAGATATTGTGAAACTGTGCAGCAAGTTCTATAGTTGGAATCATGGGAGTAGAAAGCAGGCTAGATATGTTTTGTGGGGAATGTGAGGTAGAAAATCATTACAGTATAGTGTTTAAATATCTCAACACCTTAATGTTAAAGGACCACCCTGGGCACCACAACAACTCTGTCAGAATGAAGTTGTTATCCTGCGAAGAGGTCCCGGGTGCTGGCTTACCTAAAGGGGTTAAACTGCTAACGAATCGTTTACTCCAAATTCCATAATCTGGCTCCAGATTAGTCTGTTTGTGAACTCCTTGTCTGTTGTTTCACTCAGGAAACCTCGGACTGAGCACCGCTGATAGGCTTCAACTAAGCCGGGACGTCCTTGTACCATTACAACTTCATTCAAATTAAGTTGTTGTGGTGCCCATTATGTCCTTTTAAATACAACTACACAAAAATGTCTATGCATAGAGTCAGTATAGACAACTGTACCAACTGAGTGACAGAGGAGAGCAGGATAACCCTCCTACAGGGGGTTCTCTTACTATCTATCCTGACATCTAAATTGCATGTACTCTATTGTGTGAATATTACTCAAGCAAGTGCCAATAGAAAGGTGATATAGGACAAAACCAGAAACAGAATACTTTAATGATGCAATAATATGCTTATGTAATAATAAGTAAAATTAAAATAAAATTACAGAAAAATCACAAAAGCAATAATTATTGGAAAAGACTATCAAATTGATCATTGATAACTTTTTCCCGATGTTTCTCTTTTTCCTCCTCTGATGCAATGTGTGAAGTGACTGTGAATAGTCTAAAATGGTTTGTGATGCCAATTGCTAAATCTTTCTAATATACATTTCAAAGAAAGCAAATATTTAGTAGAACTATTATGTACAATGAAGTGTCCAGGATATAAAAGTTATGTTTATTTTCTCATTGTCCTAATATGCAATAGGCTGCAACCTCTCCACTTGTATCAAATTGTCTTTATAATTTATTGCCTGTACTGTGCGTGGAGGCTGGGTGTCATGCCGTATGTGCAGATTAAAGCTCAGATATGTGATATTGCAATCTCAGAGAGGCATCATGTGGCCTAGCAGTAGACTAACTGTATGTCAGATACGCACTGCGATAATAGAAATGGAAATGTATCTTCTCTCATTAGGCCCATCAAATTGTTCAGCTATAAGCCCATTAAGCCGTAAATCCAGCAAATTGTGTATACATGATATGTTACTCATGATTTGTTGCACTGAATTGTGTCTAGGTTTCACTCATGGCTGTAGATGAAATGCATATGCATTTACCGAAGATGAGTAAAGACATTTACTGGAATGATTCAGATCCACGACCACCCTATACACTTGCCGCTGCTGATTACTGTATTCCTTCATTTTTGGGATCAACTGTTCACATGGGGTAAATATCATGACTGTCTATAGTTGCATCATTTATACACACACTGATTTAGTATTTTTTGAAGTTGCAGTATTCATGAGCACGTATATCTTTTATCTGCATTTATTACCTGTTCGTACTCGCACCTCTGACTTCTCTAGAGCTGCAACATTCCTATGGAACTCCATTCCCTGCTCTGCCTAGACTTTTACCCAGTCTCAGTTTATTAAAATATGATTAAACTCACTTCTTTAAGAAAGTATATCAATTAACCGTTAATAGCTTTCACTCCCCACACCTTGGTTACCCACCCTGCTTCTACTCCTGCAACCGTGTCATCCAAAAACCAACACTTCACTGTTCTAACAACCTACTTTTTCCATATATGAAATCCATCCTACCCTTGCCTCTTGTACCACTTTACGCAACTCCCTCTAGAATGGAAGCTTGTTTGAGCAGAGAACTCATCACTGTCTGCTCCTGTGTGTCCGGCTCGTCTTGTCGCAAATACATGTCTGTTAGTCCACCTATTGTACAGCGCTACGGAATTTTTTGGTATTTTATAAATGATAATAATAATCAGTGATTTTATATATCTATTGCAGGCTTCCAGATTCTGTATTTTTGCGTGAGGATTGGATGTTGGAGGAGGAGAAACATCGAAGACAGAATTCTGTTCTAAGAAGAGTCAAACGATTCTTGAGTGTTCATGAGCATCCTGACTCTCCGAATAGAGCTGCATTCAGTCGACAAGGAAGTGATGCCTCTAATATGTTTTTCCCCAGTCCTGAAGCAAATTATACTGGTAACTACCACGAGGTGCCATCTCGGGCAAGATCCCATTTTATGCATTCTAAAAGACGAGTATCATCAGACAAGACCTCAGTGCCCAACACCCCATTAGGAGATCTATCAACAATTCGCGAGGCCAGCAGATCTGACACGTCAGACAGACAAACATCCACAGAGGGTAATATTTCACCTAACTCTGTTGTAAGTGTACCTGAAGTCTTAGTAACTGCTGCTGATGAGACAAGACCAATCTCACAGTGTTCTATTCCTGTGCAATCAAATTCACTTACCACCACGGAGACATCAGACAATACAGAAAACCACCAAACTGTTCATGATATTACGCCTGAGAAAACAGTGGCTGAACAAGATGTCCAAGAGGTAAGTCAGGTAGAAAAACAGTTGACCACAGATGATGAGAAGCGCCACCTTGACAGAAAAGACCAGCCAAGGAGATTCCATAGATGGAGCGACTCAGTATATCATTCACAAAGTTCTGCAACAAGTTCGCAACCAAAAAGGAAGTCATTACTAAACATTCCTCTCTTATTGACTATGGAGAATATAAAGCCTGCTGCTCAGAGAGACTCCAGTCCAGACCCAAGTCAACCTACTTCAGAGGAAATGATCAATTTACTAAAGCATATAGATGCCAAAGAAACTGATATTGTAGAGTTTAGTGATGAAAAGAAAGAAGGCGATATGTGAAATCAAACAAAACATTTGTAATTAAAAATGTTACGCAACATTCAACTCGGTTATAAACTAAACAACAAAGGTCTTAACTCTGTTTCCCTGCAGAATATGTTATTACTTTGGAAGTCCACCAGGATAAGAGACTTCAATACAGCCCTTGATGATTATAACGTACAGCCTAATGATTATGCACAAACGCACATATAAAGCTGCCTATCCTTCTTAACATGCATTCTACAAGTATACCAGTCACTGTGACAAGATCCATTATCCAATCATTTAATGGAGAATAAAGTATATTTTTGTTACAGCCTCATCTGAACATGGATTGAGCCTCGGTTTCTCACAAATAATGGTTGCTGAGCTGTTTTGTTTTTTATTTCGACTTGATATGAGTGTTTATCAAGATAGACAAGAAAATCTGGCAGCAATGTTAACATTTGTTTTTCATAGACTTGTGCCACGTTTTAGCAGCCTGCCATTTTGAATTACTGGGTACAAAGCTGATTTGTTTTTTAATTCTTTCTTAAACACTTGGATACAACCGTATATGCATGACATCAGAATTATGCCACAGCTGGGGTGTTTTTTCCTTTTGCATTGCCACAAAATGATGCTAGCATGGTTTCAACTAACCCGGCATAACGTGGTGAAACTGAAAAAAATAGGACTTTCAACTGGCGTGAAATTTTTACATATGAAAACATAGGAACCTCAATGTAATTTGTGATTTACTAAATAGTATTGCAATTTTAGGGACATAAAAAATAATATGTTTTTGGCGTTATTGCAAGTCCTTGTAAGACCAGGTGTAAGATGCCACTAGGTGAGCGGAAACAGTCAAATTAATTCACTATTGAGTTTATTATTTAATGTCAATGAAGAAGCCATGATCAGATGTGTTTGCATCATACATGCACTTGATTTGCTCACTAATGAAAGACTATGGATTGGCTCGAACAGCCCTTCCATTTCCGGCATGGTGCTGAGAGAACAGATGGGTTAGTGATATATTTACAAAGAGTATTAGTAACTGTGAAAAAGGCTACTTCAACATCACCTGCAACCATTGTATATGCCATTAGGCCTCTTTGTGGATTTTCCTTTGCATATCAAATTGTAATATGTAATGTACCATCAGAAGATATGTTCTCTTCACCCAACCAGTCTCTGCCTTTAATGATTCAATATGTTTCTTCCCTTGTAATTCTGAGAAGCATGATGATTTCTATTGGTCCAATATTGGCTGTAAGACCCTCTAGCTCTATGATGATTGACAGATATCCTCATTTTTTTGGCCATTGGCATTGCTCTCAGTCACCTGAAAAGATTTGTGCGACGTGTAGATTATATTTTTTAGCAAACAGAAAGGCTGCCAAACTGCATGGATGCAGAGAAGAAGTACAGACACACATTCACATGGACACTTTGTTGCACTTCACATTCACACGAGGAAACTCAGACTTACGACAACCATATAATGCCAATAAGGTCAGTCTTTCATTCTTGGCATTTATACAAAATTCCTGGAGCACTGAGTGAAGCAAGATGTCTTAATATGAAGTGTGATTCATCCCTTTCACGCCTTACATGAGACATCTCGAGTCCAATGCCAAACATAGTGCATATCTTCCTCGGGGAGAACTCTCGCCAGCGATATGTCTGAGGTGTGGTCAGATTTAAAGACATTTGTAAATGAGTGAGTGAAAATGGACACAAGTAATAGATAAAGATAATAACAACTGTGGTTCTTCAGGCAGCAGCTTATTAAATGAAAATATAGAAAAAGGCTAATTTTATATTTAAACAAATTTGATGTGTTGTAGCCGTAAAATTCTGTGTTTAATAATTGTAAGTACTAGGAAGACAGTCACTACTGAAACCAAGGCTTGATAAAGACATATAAACTGGCGAGAACAATTCTGTGCTTTTCGTAAAGGGAAACTATAGTGTAAACCACCTTAAACCTCTGAAGGTAAGCTGGTGCCAGGGCCCTCCTGGTACCACAACAACATCACTACATTTAAGTTGTTATGGTGCCTGGAGCTTCTCTTTACTTGTGAAGCCCAAATTGTATTAGTTTTGCACAAATCTTAAATCTTTAAAGGGACACTATAGTCACCAGAACAACTATAGCTTATTGTTTTTGTTCTGGTGAGTATAATCATTCCCTTTAGGCTTTTTGCAGTAAACACTGTCTTTTTATAGAAAATGAAGTGTATACATTACAGCCTAGGATAACTCTACTGGTCACTCCTCAGATGGCTCCTAGAGATGCTTCCTGGGGCAGTGCTGCACAGTGTGACTTACATTCGGTGTTTCCATCCTCTGCATGCAAACCCTGAACTGTCCTCATAGAGATGAATTGATTCAATACATCTCTATAAGGAGATGCTGATTGGCCAGGGCTGTGTTGGGCTTGTGCTGGCTCTGCCCCTGATCTGCCTCCATAACAGTCTCAGCCAATTCAATGCTTTCCTATGGAAAAGCATTGTGATTGGCTTTGATCAACACTTCTGATGATGTCAGCAAAGCAAGCAGATCAGGGGCAGAGCCAGCAGCTGCAGCAGACTGCAACAAAGGTACGATTTTACTATATTTGGGGGGGAAGGGCTAGATGGTGTCTAACAATGTAGGATCAGGAATACATGTTTGTGTTCCTGACCCTATTGTGTTTCTTTAATCAAACATATGAATACATTTTGAAAAAGTATTGTAATGCAGTGCAGTTAAAGATTTTTACATCCATGTACATCAGTCAGATAACTTGCTGTTTAGTGACACAACCCCTCAGTCTTTAACACCTAATGACTTAAACATGATGTTGCTTTCATATTTATTTTTAATACAATCTCAAGACAGCTTTTATTATCTATGAAATGCTTGCACAAATTAAAAAAAAAAGGTATTCCACAGTTTGTGAGAGAAAGTTTGTTAGAATACAGGTCAGAATGAAAGTGATAGAAGACAGAATAAAACCATAGGGAAATGGTCGAAATAACTGTATATATATTTGAAGCATTCTATCATAAACCCAAGGGAAAATGCATAATTAAATTGCCTACGTGAAATCAAGGGAGCATCTCAAACACTTTAAAAAAAATACAATTATTGTGATATGTTTATTGTATTACGCTAAACAAATTTAACTGGTATGCTGTTTTAGAAAAACACTACTCTCTCTATATATTGGTGCTTCTTTGAAAATACATGCGTCGGTCAGCTTCCCAGAAACATACCTTTTAACATTTTCAATACCAATAACTCTTCAGGACAGTGTGATAAAAAGGGATTGACTCTGAAGAAGTTAAAATTTATTTCTTTTCTTAAATGTTATATCGTGGCATAATGTAAATTAATTGATGATCACTTACTGGCTTGCAATTTGTTACCATCATCTTTTTTCCATGTTGTTCATACTATACATTATAGTTTTAAGGGGTGAACTCATTAAAGGAGAATGCGTAAAACTATGGTTCGTATTTTACTGTACTGCATATATTATGATAATTCAGGGTTGGTCTATCTGCACACCTTACTATAAATAATTGAATGGCTCTTGAAATATGCTGGTATATTTGGCTTTTGAAAAGGTACATCTGACAACTTCAAATTAGACTTTAAACTGACCCAAGGATTAGCAGTCAATAACTGACCAACGGTGCATGTACCGTGATAATTCTGGCCCAGATTTAATGATTGTGGATAAGCTTTTCAAATGATTTAATATTTATTTTAAAATATATTTCAATATTGTAATATTTTGATTATGTTTATATATATAGCTTAAATTGTTATATATGATATATTTGTGATATTTTAATGTTTTGAAAAAAACTAACTACAGGTATATAAAAAGTTTATCCAAAAATATGAAATAATTTGAAAAGGTTATCCGACAATATTAAATTGGGGACTCTGTTGGGTTTATGGAAAATAACTGTAAAAAACAAAAATGACACCTTATAATATATATTTCTCATCTTTCTTCTTCATGTTTGGTGGCTCTCCCTGATGTTATTATTATTTATAAAGCGCCAACAAGCTCTGTAGTGCTGTACAATGGGTGGACTAATAGACAAGTATTTGTAACCAGACGAGTTGGACGCAGAGGAACAGAGGAATTGAGGGCCCTGCTCAATGAGCTTACATGCTAGAGGGAGTGGGGTATAGTGACACAAAAGGTAAGGGTAGTATAGAAAAGTAGGTTGCTAGAATAGTGTTCATTGATGGCTTAGTGTTTTGTTTTGATGGCAGTTGCAGGAGAGAAATCAGGGTGCGGGGAGGGAAAGCTGTTCACAGTTTAATTAAAATGCTTTCCTAATTCAAAGAATTTTTGACGGAGTGGAAACTGGGTGAAAGTCTAACAGAGGGGAAGGGTGTTCCATAGGAACGGTGCAGCCCTAGAGAAGTCTTTAAGGTGAGCATCAGAGGTAAGAGTTCGAGGTTAGACACATTTTCTGTGAGTTTATTCTGCTTACATATACTAATATATAACAAAATGGATGATAGATCATGGATATTCAACAGGAGATGTTCATTGCTGGACTTTGGACAGGAGATTCTTTTGTCTTGAAAGTCAAGACAGACAGACAACAGAACTTGTCCTTTGTAAATAGTTCTATATAACTATGACTATAATGGCATCAGAACTTTTAGCTAAAACTCTGGCCATATAAGGACACATCATTAGACCTTCTTTCCTCTTGATACACACCCACATTCCAGAATTCATCTTTCCAGATAAAGAACGCTATGTTGATTCCATCTGTCACATACTCACCCAGACGACTATGTAATATATGCCTAAAATATGTAATATTCTACTATTTACCTGTTTTAATCTTGTACTTTGAAGAAGCAGGATACTGGAGGGCTAATGTCAAACGTCAAAATATGGATTTCTGGACTATCTTACCAGTGACTGGCAATACTAGATAATTACCTTACAATATATATCTAAAATGTAGAAATAATACCGGACATACGTATATCCTTTCCAAAATGAGCAA